GGTGCAAAAAAAAAATCTAGCCTCGTTGAAATCGCAGGAGGTGCTAAGTGCTGTTTATGTGCATGGTGCAGATTGCTGATAAAGACATGGCAATCGAAATGACCCTACATGTACTGTACTTCCATTTTGTTCTCCCGTACTGAGAACATATCGGCCTTGGTCTTGCCAGCACATACATCAAATTAACTGTATTACTGACATTAATTTAATCTACTAAATGTTTTGTAATAACTGATTAATTTAATTATGGAGTGATATGGAAGCTTTTAAGTAGTTTTATAGAAGCAAACTTACACACAACCTGCCAGACAATAAAAATAATTATTGATTTAGGAGTTAAGTGATCAAATATAACATTTTACTTAAAGTTGCATAAAAGACATCAAGTACGGCAGAAGCGCACGATTGATACAACATGACATCGTGCTGGAGAGTTAAATGACAGAGAAATTTAGATCCTTCTGTGGCACCTATTTCTTCAGTCGCAGCATAGCCATTCCTTCGCCACATTTAGAAAATGTCCCCCCTGGTTACCTAACGCACCTTGTGACACCGTGACAAGGTTATCCACAGAGCACGCATCACACAAATGTGATGCTAGGTATTTCAAAGGAGGTTAGCTGTATGTTTTTCAGATGCCCAGTCATGTTTTTATGATTGATAGTGTGAGTGAATCTGCAGATGGGCCTCCTGAATCCACATACAGCTTCATACTGCTGATTTTTTTAGAAGAGGAAAACTGTAGAAATCAAAATTTGGGTGTCATTTTCTGCACCTAAATGCATCATGCACACTTTGACAGAATTTATATTGATCCATGTCCAAAATAAAGTGTGAATTATTTGTAAATTTTACTTGTATTAGAGACAAAAGTGTAACAACTAATATAAAAGCTGATTCTAGACATTGTAAATAAAATGGTTTGCCATAATGCTGTCCTTGAAATTTATTTCATAGACACAAAGCGAGCAGCTGCCACAACGAACCACAAAACATCCGTACATCTAAACCCCAACACTTATCTTGGTGAACAGATTGCTTCTTTCAGCGTGGTGGTGCAGTGGCACTTCTCAGTGACCCCTCCATGCTTGCATGAGATGAACCGTTAAAAGAAATTGTGTTGCTAATAAATTCTGCTTGACAGTCATTGCCGTTTCAGTGAGTATATGTTTTCACTGCAGTCCCACTGTATGAGGCAAACCTGATCAAATATACACCCAACATCCATGTTCTCATAAATTGTAGGCTGCCATGAGCATCTTAGTAAAAGGCTTTGCTGTTACACGTAAATAATACAAATTAAGTTTAAAAAAACAGAGTGGCAAACAAGGCCCTTTGCAGAGGTGTTGAAAGACAAGTTAGTGAATTGTGGTTGAGGTGGTGTCATTGCAGATGCCTGCTCCCATTGATGCACCAGACATGTGACATCAACATCAACGGTGAAATTTGCTCATTGATGACCGGGGAGGGCGACCCTGTATATAAAGGAGAGTGCCTTCCTCCCACGAAAGACTTATCAACAAGTTTGTCTTCTTCACACTGGTTGTTACGGAGCTACTGGAAATAAACTCGACAAACTTCAACTTGAGGACAAAATTCTGGTAAGACTTAGCATGATGGTGAATAAGTGTGTGGATATGTCAGAAAAAAATATGGTGACACAGTAAAACAATTTGCTCACTAAGAGATCTGTTTGGTTTGTTCCAGTTCTCAATATGCTTTCACTAAAGCATTTGGAGATGTTGGTTCTGTTCATCTTCTTCATCAGTATCCTCACAGAGGGAAGCCCACTGAGGTAAACAAAAAAAGTGCTTTTTTATTAATGGTGTTTATTTTATGAAATCTGACTCTAACTGCAGAGGTGAACTGTTGTTTGTTTTGTTGTTTTCTGTTTCTGCAGAAAGAGATCCATCAGTGAGGTTCAGCTCATGCACAATGTTCAGGAACACAAGGAAGTGGGAGACAGACAGGACTGGCTTCAGGAAAAGTTAAAGGAAATTATAACTTTCAGCCCCAATCCACAACATGTGCAAGCAGGAAATGTTAAAAAGCGTCTCCAGAAGGATGTTTTTAGGCCAAAGATGTAAAAAAAAAAAAGTTAATATTTACCAAATAACTTATCAATCAAATACTCTATTTATTTATTTATTTGTTTATTTATTTGTTGTTTAATCATTTATTTATTTATTTTTTGTTGTTTTTAATTTTTTATTGATTTATATATACTTTGTATTTTAATTATACTTTTTTACATTATGTTAATATTTTTCCAATTTTATAATTTGAATAATATTTTTGCCAGTTAGTTAGTTAGTTAATTACTTAGTTAGTTAGTTAGTTAGTTTAAATTATTTGTGAATCAATAGGCTAGTCCGCTTCAAAGATTTTGTTTTTATTGTGTTGTGCAAATAAGGACCAACAACAAAGCAAATTTTATAATGTATATTTTGAAAGTTTTATCCATCCATCCATTCATCCATCCGTCTGTCCATACATCCATTCATCCATCCGTCTGTCCATCCATCCATCATCTTCCTTGTTATGAAGTTGGGTCTCGGGGCAGCATCTTGAGCAGGGAGGTCCAGACATCTCTCTCCACAGCCTCCTCTTCCAGCTCTTCTGGGAGGACTCCAAGATGTTTCCAGGTCAAACGAGAGACATAGTCTCTCCAGGGTGTTCTGGGTCTTCCCCGGGGTCTCCTCCCAGTTGAACATGCCCAAAGCACCAGGCGCCCAGGAAGCATTCTTACAAGATGCCTAGAGCACCTCAACTGGCTCCTCTCAATGCGGAGGAGTAGTGGTTCTACTTCAAGTCTCTACCTGATAACAACTTCTCACCCTGTCTCTAAGGGAGAGTCCAGCTACCCTGCAGAGGAAACTCATTTCAACCTCCTGTATCTACAATCTCATTATTTCAGTCACTACCCAGAGTTCATGACCAGAGGTGAAGGTAATAACAAAGACCGACCGATAAACAGACAGCTTGACAGCTCAGCTCTCTCTTCACCACACTGGACCGGTACAAAGTCCACAATACTGCAGATGCTGCACCACCAATCTGTCTGTCAATCTCATGCTCCATTCTTCCCTCACTTATGAACAAAACCCCGAGATACTTGAACTCATCCACTAGAGAACCTCAGTGGAACCTCACCCTCGACCTGAAGAGCGCAAGCCACCTTTTTCCTACTGAGGACCATGGCCTCCAATTTGGAGGTACTGATTCTCATCCCAGTTGCTGTGAACCACTCCAGTGAGAGCTGAAGATCACAGTACGATGATAACAGGGCCACATCATCTGCAAAGAACAGAAGTAGAACCCTGAGGCCACCGAACCAGAATCCCTCCGCCACCTGGCTGCACTGAGAACTCCTGTTCATAAAAGTTATGGACAGAATCGGTGGCAGAGTCCAACTCCCACCCTGAAGGGGTCCAACTTACTACCGGCAATGCGAACCAAACTCTTGCACTGCTTGTTAGGGAACAGCCCGTAACAACGGGCCCCCAATCCCATACTCAAGGAGCACCCCCCACAGTGTACCCCGAGGAACACGGTCGAGTGCCTTCTCCAAGCCCACAAAACACATGTAGACTGGATAGGCAACTCCCATGACCCCTCGAGGACCTTAGTGAAGGTAAAGAGCTGGTCCAGTGTTCCACGGCCAGGACGGAACCCACATTCCTCCTGGATCTGAAGTTCGACCAACGATCGGACTCACTTCTCCAGTACCCCTGAATAGACCTTAGGGATGCTAAAGATAGCGACGCCCCTGTGATTGGAGCACACCCTCCTGTCTCCCTTTTTGAAGAGGGGAACCACCACCCCAGTCTGGCAATCCAGTGGCACTGCCCCTGATGTCCATGCAATGTTGCAAATGCATGTCCACCAGGACAGCCCCACAACATCCAGAACCTTAAGGAAATCAAAACAAATCTCATTCACCCCCGGAGCCCTGCCGCTGCACAGCTTTTTATCTACCTCGGTGACCTCAACCGGGTTATGGACAAACCAACCCCAAAGTCCCCCGACTCAGCTTCTTCCATGGAAGATGTGCTGGTGGGATTGAGAAGATCTGAGAAGTATTCCTTCCACCTCCCAACAACATCACTGTTTGAGGTCAACAGCACCCCACCTTCACTGAGCACAGTGTTAGTAGGAGCTGCTTTCCCCTCCTCGGTCTGATGGTTCGCCAGAATCTACTCGGAGCCGACCGAGTCTCTATCCAAGACCTCAGCGAAGTTCTCCCACATCCGAACTTTTGCCTCAGCAACAGCCAAGGCTGCAGAATGCATTATGTTGCTACAAATGTTTATTTTATTTTGTAATTACATTTAAGAATGAATAAATATTACCTGTTGTATTTTGGCAAATCAGCAAAATAAAGTTTCTGTTGTTGTGTTTCTTTTGTTGTCTTTTAAACTAATACAATAAATTATATCCTAAAATTCAACAGAAAGAAGCAGAGAATTTTTTTTTTTTTTTTTGTATTTTTTTCAATAAATTAATATTTTATATTTACCACACTATGGTTTCTGTATCGGTTTGTCCTGGATCTCATCACCCACAAGCTAATATTCCTGATCCATTTTCTCTGAGTCCATGAACGTGTTTTACAACATTCATGAAGAAGTGCAGGAGTGGAAAACATGCAAATTATCGCGAGATTTGATATAGCTACGTCCCTTTTTAGTAAACAACGAAAATTGTTCTACTAGTTATAGAAAAACAACCTTTTGGAGTCTATACAAAATTAATCCCACTTTTTTTGCTTAATTTAAACGTAATAGGAAGCGTAGCAATAATAATAATTAAAATAATATATATTTTTTGCAAACATGGAACATACATGAACAAAACAGAACAATAGAGAACTAATTATAAACATAAACACAACAGTCAAGGGCATTAAGGTCATAAAATAATAATAACCACATAAAGGTTGAGGCGTCGTGTGCGTCATTGCGTCATCACGTCGATCCGTCAACGGTTGTTACGTTTTACGTCACCTGGGTGAGTGTGTTTTGAAAGGGATGCTGGTTGGTTAGCTGGCTATTGGGATTACAGCGGAAAACGGAGGCTGGTTTTATGAAGTAATTTTGATAAACTGTATCTACGAGACTGTCTAAAACGTGTGTGAGTACTTTTAACGTTGATTAACTGTTCACACTGTCGTCGAGGGATAATAGATCAAACACTTGTACTGTTAGCTAACAGCTAGTGTTAGCCACGTATGCTATCATAGCAAAGCATTTAGTTAGTCGGAGCCTGGCTCAAATTACAGAGACGTTGTTTACTATTTGTTTAGATATTAATATAGTCCTTGCATTGTTCATTGAGCTTAGTTTATGTAGATCTCTTTAGAACATGCGTGGTCGGTTAGGTAGTTTGTGGTTTGCTGTAGGGGACACAACTAACTACTGGCTTGTTGTTACCCGTTACTGCTGGCCAGATGATGAACGGTGAAAGATCCAGACCTGAGTCCCCTCTGTGCGGGTAATGGCAGCACCTCTGCAGTCATATGACAGTAACTCCAGTGATACCGAAAACGAGGAACGAAAAGCAACAAGCCGACCTCGCAAACTCTGCAATCATTCGAGGTAAGTCCCAGGAAAACCCCTGACAGGAGGAACATAACAAAAACTGCACAGGGGTCAGGATGGTTTTCATTATAAATAAGAACAAAATGTGAATCTCTAAGGTATACGAGATAAACAGCTGTTGTATTTGGTCTTTTTATTGTACAAAATGAAGGTTTTATTGTTGTACAATTCAGGTATGTAGAAGGCATACCTTAGACATGAGTTAGTAAGTAATTAGTTTTTCTGATTATAGAGGTGTAAGTTTTATTTGTTTTTCTAAGTTAACTTGAATAACTAAACACTAACCCTGAAGCTGTGGTGTTCATAATAACCCAATCTCTAATTTTTATTGCACACCATCATTCAGTATGTTTAGATCACTCGAGTGTAACAAAACACAGTTTGTTAGGAATCAGCAGTATTTTGTGGTTTGTGTGTAACTATTATTAGAAACCTTCATAATGTGGTTGGTCTAGTTGTTCTGGTTGTTGCGTATGTTTTCAAGGTCTCTTGTGCAATCCTGATTTCTGGTGTATATGTAAGAGTGAAGGGTCTCGTTTTTTTTTTTACTCCTCCAAAAACAAATCTCTATCAAATTCAATAAATCCTATTTTGTCATGCATATTGATTTTCTGATATGGCAGTAAAATAAAATGGGCGCTCTGGCTTTAAAAAAAAAAAGAAAAGAAAAGAGAGCATTACGTGTGTTTTTGTGTTTTAAAAACAGCAGTCAGGCCAGAGCTTCTCGAGTGGAGGCAGAAGAGAGGAAGATGAGCATGCATGGTGCCAGTGGGGGTTGTGACCGTTCACGTGACCGCCGTCGTTCTAGTGATCGCTCTAGAGACTCCTCACATGAAAGAGAAGGGCAACTCACCCCCTGCATTCGGAACGTCACGTCACCCACCCGCCAGCTCAACAGTGGTGAGTATGTATGAGAATAACAGAGCGCTTATATGAACATCATGCCTGAATTTAGCAGCTCTGCTCTGTTACAGCTGAGAAAGTTTTACTGCTTAGATGTGATTTATATGTCTGATCTATTCAGCTTCCATTTGTTCAAAGCTTGTTGCTTGGACTCGTTAGTTATAAAACATATGGTCTGTGTAGAGCTTCATGTCTGATTGTGGTTGTTTACTCGGACATCAACTATAACGTTTGATAAAAATAATAATGTTTCTTACTTGCAGGTTATGGGTTGTTAACATTTTTGCTTCGAGTTTAAAGGAAAACTTCTTTTTGAGTCACTGACCTTTCTGGGTGCTTATAGATCGTGAGCGGGATGGCCCATCATCGAGGCCCAGTAGCCCAAGGCCTCAGAGAATCTCACCTAGTGGTTCCAGCAGCAGCGGGGTGGTGAGCAGTCGCAACAGTAGCTTGTCCAGCACTGAAGGCACCTTAAAAAGTTTGGGAGCTGGAGAAATGGTTTTTGTTTATGAAAACCCTAAAGAGAGTGGAGCAAATGCCGCTGTTGGAAACCGAAACGTTAGGAGCTCAGAGAGAGTCACCCTAATTGTTGACAACACGCGTTTTGTCGTGGATCCTTCCATCTTCACTGCACAACCCAACACCATGTTGGGCAGGTACTGTACGCTTTGATCCTCATCACTGTTCGTGTTTTACTTTAATGACCACAAGAATTTAAGATGATCTCTCATTTGTAAACTTCCACGACAGACAAAAGTTAATTTTAAATGCCTAGGTGTGTCCAAGCTTTCATTGTGTTATATTTGTGGTCTTTTTTAATTTTTTTAAATTAAATAATCCTTTTTTTTTTTTTTTTCCAGAATGTTTGGATCTGGAAGAGATCATAATTTCACAAGACCCAACGAGAAGGGAGAGTACGAGGTGGCTGAGGGCATAAGCTCCACAGTTTTCAGAGCAATTTTGGTTAGTTTTAGTGAACTCCTTTAAATTTATTGAAATGTCTGAAGACCTGCGGACTCTTAAGCAAACTCTTTTATGATTGTTTTAAAATATGAACATGCATACTTTCATTGGGGTGGGTTTCACAGTAACATTCTTTGAGTCTAACTGTTTAACATTTAGCTTAATGTCTTTAAAAACAGAAATTGGTTATAGCAAAACTATATTTTGGCTAACTGCAGGACATTGCCTCTGTTTTTGTGTTAAACAGAGCAAGCGATACACAGTTTACTGAAGGAGATGCTCTTCAGAATTATTTTGAAGGTTTAATTTGATGACCTCTCATTTTATAAGCAGATTTGTCAAAACTAAAACTCTCTCTTCTAAATCAAACTCATATAATTTCTTTAAATCTGGAGGCTGGATTAAGCTCCTATGAGCTGCAGTTGTGACATTACCCCGGGCTGCACAGTTTTGTTGCACACATCTTTAAAAGCCAGTAATTATTAACTCGTATGCAATGTCCTGGCTCACTGCAAGTTATCGTTTTGCTTTTCAGGAACCCATCTGGTAATAGTTTAACGAATTGCCATGAATGATTTGTTAAGAGTTATTTTCAAGGTTTTATGTTAAACGGCTCATTTGATATACTTGATTTTTGTGTGTGTGTGTGTGTGTATTTTCTAAGTTATTGGATCATCTTTGTTTGAAACAAAGCGTTGTTTTGTGTGATTTCTGTCTAATTAATAGGATTACTACAAATCTGGGATAATCCGCTGTCCAGATGGAATCTCCATCCCTGAGTTGCGGGAGGCGTGTGACTATCTATGCATCTCCTTTGACTATAGCACCATCAAGTGCAGAGACCTCAGTGAGTATATGTTATGCTGTTAGTGTTGCACATTAAAGATGGCAGCCTGTGTCCATGCAAGCAGCTTCACCATGATACTTCTGTCTTCTAATATTCTTATAATATTAAACATTTATTTGAGCTAGTGAACTATAGAATCACATGTCCAGACGTAGTAGCTGGGGTTTCAGAGCTGGATCGAGCCAGAAAAGGTGGAATTGTTAGACCATCGTTAGGCTTTTTGTAGTTTTTACTGTATTGTTTGAGGGGGAGAAAAGCTTCTTAAAACTACAAAGTCCATGCTCGATAATCCAGAATAATAGAATAATCCAAACCAGTTTTGTTTGTGACAAGATGGTCTCTTTGGTACGCCCCCTCCTCCATTGCCAGCCCTCTTCCTTGAACAAGGTTGTGTTGTGTGTTTCCTTGACTGATGAAGCCTTCTGGATGGAAGGTGAAATGTTTCAGCACACAAAAAAAGACTGTCCAGATGACCTGACTGAAAAATGTTGGATTGTATACCTGGATTATTGAGCATGGACTTTGTTGGTTTTGTCTGGTTGAGTCCCGTTCTCAAACATCTCAACTTCTTGCATATTTTCCTTCAATAGGTGCCCTGATGCACGAGCTGTCCAATGATGGGGCTCGACATCAGTTTGAGTTTTACCTTGAAGAAATGGTTCTGCCTTTAATGGTGGCCAGTGCTCAGAGCGGGGAGAGGGAATGCCACATCGTCGTCCTTACAGACGACGATGTGGTGGACTGGGACGAAGAATATCCTCCACAAATGGGCGAAGAGTATTCACAGAGTGAGTGCAAGCTAATACAGTACAGAAAACAGGAACATAAGTCTTTGCATACTGCGAATAAATACAAATGTGCTATAAATAATGTACTTTTTCTTCTTTGCAGTCATTTACAGCACAAAACTGTACAGATTTTTCAAGTATATTGAAAACCGAGATGTTGCCAAATCAGTTTTAAAAGAGAGAGGATTGAAGAAAATAAGACTGGGCATTGAAGGTATGTTAAACTGTGGCATGATGATCGTGATGAATTCTGACTTTCATTAATGTTTCTCAGCTAATCTATTGTTCAAAGTATTTATTTTATGGTAGCAATTAAAGATTGAAGTCAAGTACTGGACAGAAAAAGGTGCTTGTTTGTGACTATCCACTATTATTCATCATTAACATTTCAGTGCTCTGCTCTCCCTTTATTTTTATTGTCACACAACAGTCCAAAGTGTCATCTTAGTATGTGATGTCATCATCATCATGTCGTTTAATTCTGTCTTTTAAAAGTGTATTTTTAGTTTGACATCTCATTGTCATTAACATTTTATAATAGAGGTTCAGAAACCAGTTTTGGAGCATAATGTGCATGTTTCTGGTGTCTAGTATGTAATACAGTGTGGATGAGGGTTCCATGACTTAGTGGTTGACTTTGCTAAAAACTGAAGTAAAAAGAGTCACTGTTAAACACAAATCATGACCAATCTGGGAAACGGACACTAATACAAATGTATTCACTTACAAAACGTATTAGAAACCGTTTTAGAAGTCGTTTAGATCCAGATGAACTTGACAATAATAAGGCTTTTGTCTGTAGGTTACCCTACCTATAAAGAGAAAGTCAAGAAGCGTCCAGGAGGTCGTCCGGAGGTCATTTACAACTACGTCCAGAGGCCCTTCATACGCATGTCCTGGGAAAAAGAGGAGGGTAAAAGCCGACATGTGGACTTTCAATGTGTGAAGTCTAAATCCATCACCAACCTGGCAGCTGCAGCCGCTGACATCCCCCAAGACCAGCTGGTGGTGATGCACCCCGGTCCACAAGTAGATGAACTGGACATCCTGCCTAATCATCCACCCAGTGGGAACCACTACAGCAACAACTACAGCAATGAGCCTGATCCTGACGCACCTTCACCTGCTGTTTGAGGACTCTGGTCCTCCATTAATGCCTCTGCCCCTCTCTTACCCTTGTTGTCCTATTCCCAGCATGCTGCAGCATGGAGCGCCTGGGGCACCAGAACCATATTGCCTTGACACCTCCTTTGCAGCCTTAGAGCCTCAAGAACCTGGGTGACTGGAGAGACAAGAAACTCGAGGAAATAAAGGCTGCTAAATGAAAGGGTTCACTGTTGTTTTCATTTTGTTTGTTTTTTTACTTGACCAAAGGAATTTGTTGTTGTTTGAGAGGGAAAAAACAGTAAAACTTAGTATTAACATGATTATGGTTATTATTTACAATGTTGTATATTTCTCGATGGGTTTGGTCGAGCACTGTGTGGTGTCGCTGTTTTCCTTCCAGGTTTTGTTTTACAGATAATTTGTGTTTTTGGTGGCATACTTGAGATGCTTTGAGGGGAAGATTTGTGAAAAGAGAAATTATGTCCTCAGCATTTACTGTCATGATCTCCAGCAGAACTCCTCATCGATGTCTTAGAACCTTGTTATGGGATATGTTGTCACTGGTTGGCTGGGTTTGGTATGTGATGTTACTCCTCCCACAGCCGAGATGTTAAGCAGAGAGCACGAGCTGCTGTGGTCAGAGTGTGTGTGCAAAGCTTGAAATTGTTGTTTAAAATCGACTTGTAAAATTCTGAAATAAAGATCAAATAAAAGCAGGTTGTGTATGTTTGATGCGTTGCTACAAATCAATTTCCATAGCGGGATTCACTCGGGACATGTCAAATTCACTTAATTTTCATCAATCAGTTGACACAATTTGAAGTCATCAACCGATAGATTGCTGTAAAACTTCAAAAGGACTGCAAGGTGATTTCTGGTGACTCAAATGGACGTTTGAAAATGACCCAAAACGCAAGCGAATTTCTTTCGGCCTCTACAAACAAAGCAGTGAGCATCCCTAAACTTTTTTATTCTGCATCATACAACATGTTGCTGCCACTTGAGGGCAGTCTCGGGAAATATATGTAACATTCTGGTGGTTAAGCTGCTTTGGTTGTGTGCATCCAGTGGCTGTGCTGTGGAAAATACAGGAGATAACGAAGGTTTGGTGTGTGATGAAATGAAATTGTTTAATGATTTACAATTATCTTGTTATAGAGAGATCAAACACATGAGTGAAATTTTTGCACCCAAGCATGTTTTAAACAGAAATCTAGTTCAGCGAGTCAGTTTTTGCAATAAATTGTTTCCAGGCTACCTTTGATCAAATAAAAACCTCCTTTTTGATTTATAAAGTGAAATAAACTATATGAGGGATCATGACAAGCGTTTGCTTTGGTTCGAGCACACAGTGGAGAAGCATCAAAAGCCAGGAGACATTTCAAGTTGCATCCATCCGTGCTCATCAGTGTTGGGTTAGGTTGGTTTTAGATCAGCAACATGTTGCAACAAGCAGCACAAAATTAAATCTAAAGTTGTAAAACCTTAGATCTGGAATAGAAAGTGGTTTATTCTTTGCAGGACGAATCGATGTGAAAAACATTTATCATGCATCCCTCTTTAAATGCATCTGACATGATGATATTCTCCCACAGCTCCAGTTTCACAGTCAGACTGCAGCCACATGTCAGTAAGTTCAGACTCTTCATCCTCCTATTGGTCCAGTTCGGCCCACTCTGCTGCCATTAAGCCTCAGCGTGGTCTAATGAAGCAGATGTGACCGTCTGCTGGTGTTGCACATTCCACGCAATTCATTTAGCAGATGCTTCGTATTTAAGATCCACCATGTGTTTTGTTTTGCTTTGAACTTTCTCAACTGCATAGATAAATGAATAAACCAAATGATCTAAACTTTATTATTTTTTTTGGAGATTGTTAGATTTTAGGTAGGATAGCTCGCTGAAATTTCATCTGCAGCTTTTAAGTGGACACCCACAGCTTGGAGACATGAGGCTCTTGTGTCTTCTAATTTAATCCAGAGCCAAGAACATGAAACATTATACTTTGTTAACCCAATCCATCTGTTTTGTTTAGAGGAGTCTGTGTTAAAACATCCCAAAATGCGGGGATTTAATTTAATGAACGAGTGGGTGGCTTTAAAAGGTGTGTAAAACTTCCAAATGAATGTCTTGATTGTAACTGACTTGAAATGAAATATGCTTTTTTTAACTTTTAATGTTTAAAAAATAGTTTTTACAGTTTTTGCTTCAGTGTTTCCTTCCATTATTTATATTTCAGGAGATGAAAACCAACACCTTATAATAACTAAAATTTCACAAACCATGAAGCTGACAGATATTTAAACACTTCGTACAGGATCAAAATGAAAGTGCAATTAAAGTTTGTTGAATCTAGATATTCATGTGACCATATGTGACTAAACCAACACTAGGCCGTGTTTACACCAACATGCAAGACACATACGTAAATCCATACCCCGCCCCCACCTCAGCCTCTCTGACCACATCTCCATCTTTATGGCTCCTGTCTACCTGCCCCCGCTGAGACGTTGGAGACCCACACAGAGGACCAGCACCCTGTGGCCCAACAGCAGCGACTCTTTACTGCAGGACTGTTTTGACGCACAGACTGGCAGGTCTTCAGGGAGGCTGCTGTAAATGAAGGAGAATTGAATCTGGAGGAATACACATCTGCTGTCCTCAGATACATCAGCATGTTGATGATGTCACCACCACCACAACTGTGAAGTGTTACCTGAACCAGAAACCCTGGCTGAACGCAGAGGTCCGTACCCTGCTGAACGCCAAAGATAACGCCTTCAGGTCTGGTGACTCACAGGAACACACAAGGAAAGAGCTGACTGCTGGTATTAAGAGGGCCAAAGCAGCATACGCACAGAAGATCCAGGGACATTTCTTCTCACAGGACCCACAGAGTATGGGGGGGGGGGGGGGGGGGCATTAAGTGCATCACAGAATATAAAAGCAGAGGTGCACAATACCCTAGAGACCCATCACTGCCTAGTGCTCTTAACAGGTTCTATGCCCACTTTGAAGACCCAAATAAACCACCCAACACCAGACTCACCTCACCATCTGAAGAGGACATCAAAGTTCATGCTCAATCATCCAGGTACAAAATCCAATAATGGTCAGTCAGGTCATCTGGACAGTTTCTTTTTTGTGGAAAGACGTTTCGCCCTCTATCCAGAGGGCTTCATCAGCCCGAGGAGTCCCAAGTGAACTGTTTCCCCACCAGTACACTCCTTTAGTGGACCAACCAGTTTGAACCAACCATCTGAAAAGGAGTTCCTCAGTGTGACCTCAGCAGAAGTAAAGAGAACGTTCAGAAAGATTAATCCTCACAAAGCCACTGGCACAGACAACAACCTGGGGAGTGTGCTGAGAGGCTGTGCCGATCAGCTCTGCGAGGTAGAGCTGCGATTTCTAACCCGGGCTACATTTCCTTGTGGGCGGAGCAATCTTACCGTTCACATAAAATATTTCATAATGTTCTGAGGGAAACAATTCCTGAATGTTGTTCATACTGTGTTAATGCTACATGTTTGTCTCCTGACCCTACAACTGGGTAACGTTACAGTGGGCCTAGCCCACTGGAGTTTTAATTAGGAATTTTCAGGTACTGGGAGTGGTGGTGCAGAGGTTAGCGAAGGTGAGCCTGTGATCGGAAGATCACCGGTTCAACTCCTGGTACCAACAACATCAAAATGTGGGTGGGATAGGTGAAGCACCCACACCTGCCTCTGCCCTCATTTGCCCCACACTGGGCCCTTGAGCAAGGCCCTTAACTCCCACCATCTGCTCCCCATAAAAACAATTGCTAAGTCTTCATGTGACAGTTCGCTGGGGCGACCCCTGACAAAGGGAGCAGACGAAAGAAGAAGGAAAAAAAAGGCTACTAATAAACACGATGGATAATGAACATACTGCTTCATAGGCCATTGGTAAGAAGGAGTGATTATTATTATCGTTTCATATCGGCTAAGTTAACTTAGACTACACTATGTTTCTAAGACTGTGGGTAGAATGAGTGAGAGAAGTGGAGCGTGCTCTATTCACACAAGGAGAGCTGTTGGTCAGGCTACTTCTTGTTGTGCCATTAACTCTAAAATAGTTAGACTGAGGAACAGCTTCTACCCTGAAGCTGTTAGACTCATGAATCTCTGACCAGAATAATCACTGTAAGAAAAAAGAAAAAAAAATCACAGTGATGCCACTTTAACTGGTGATTTGTGACTTATCTGTGCTGCTGATTATCTGACTAAAGCAGATTCTGATGAAACTGGGCAAGACGTAGGGAAGGCTGAGGGGGACTGCAATCAGGAGTTTCAATAAAACTAGCAACTTTACATCAGGAAGTTAAAGAGAGTCAAGACTCAGGACAAGGCATTAATAAGTTCTGAACTTGTGACGCTAAGTTTTCTATTAAATTTGATGAAGTCTACATCTGATTGATTGTGGAATCTGTTTTTTTCTACCACGGAAGATCAACAATTAAAATAAAAACCTGATAATTATTGACATGATGAAGTGAAGATCTAAAGTCCCCATCTGACATAAAGAACTTTGTAAGTTTGTTAGAAATGATAAGGAAAAAGGAACCTATTATTTGATGAATCCATGCTCATACTTGTGCTGTGTTGTTCTGGTTTTATGATTCTGAAATATCACAATAAAAGCTCTGCACCTGTTGAATCAAAGAAACTGAAGCTCAGGATTTATCTGATCTCAAACAAGTCACAACAAGGTCTATGACTAAATGTTCACGTCTGTATAATGTAGAAGAATATGCATCTGTATCCTCAATTCACTTAATTTATTTGTTTATTTGTGATACTCCAGAATCATTCTGCAGAGGTGCTGCTTTAAACAATTGCAGAATTAAATTTTAAGTTCTTTGTGCAACTTTTTTTTCATTTAACCTTTATTCATGCAGGCTAATGTCATTGAGCCACAAGGACTCATTCACATGAAGGACCTGTTCCAGACCGAACATATCAAGTACAGACAACAATAACAATAAACAATAATAACAATAAACTACAGTTAAAAAAAACAGTTAAAATAAGAGTAGTGTATAAAACAATAAATCAGGGTGCCGTAAAACTGGGTGAAATACTAAAAACAAGAACATATCTGCTTTAATTTTTCCTTTGACATTATCAAATGTTTGAAACCCCATAAAGAAATCAAGGTGGACAACTTCAGTTCCTGTTTCAAAGTGTTCCAGGTGGAGCTGAGTAGGAAAATACCTTTTTGCCAAGTTCAGTCTGCACTGAGGGAACGCTGCAGGTAACGATGTCCTGAGAGCGCATGTTGTAACTGCACTAACGATGTGACATGTGGGAGAAGATATAAGTAGGTAGCAGATCAAGGAGGGATTTATAGATGAAAATGAACCAGTGTGAGAGTCTACGTGTAGATACTGATGACCAACTGATCAAGGAGTACAGGGTGCAGTGGTGGGTACGGTAATTACAACCGGTTATGAATCTCAGTGTGCCATGACAGACAGCATCCAACATCTACAAGGGGCTGGCAGGAGCATTTATGTAAATAATGTCACCATCGTCAATGGCCGGTAGGAAGGTAGCGGTTACAAGGCGTTTTCTGGCATTCATTCATCTATTTCTGAAAAAGAAACCCAGTTTTAATTTCAGTTTCTTTATCAGGTTTTCAACATGTGGTTTAAAAGAGAGATGTGCATCGACCAAAATTCTCAAGTATT